ATATGTGTGTGTATATATATATATATATATATATAAAACAAGCACGAATAAAAATTCTTATGAATGAAAAGCATACACATCATTTCAATTACAAAAAATGAAAAAAGAACGGCACAAGTAACATAAGGCACACACCTAGAGCAGTAATACTGGAAATCTCAGCAATAAAAATGAATAGCAAATCGGATCTTCACTTTTTTGTTGCAAAAGTTACAAAAATATCCTCATCTAGTTTGAGGGAATTTGTCAATTTGAAAAAAAAAAAGAAGAAGAAGGAAGGCTATCAAAGTAAATCTATCACCAACTCCCAAATTTTCATTTCCGCCATTTCAATTAACCACAACCATTCATACATTTATAAATTGACACTAAACATTTTAAATCTTTGACATAGAGCAGGTTGTGATATCATTTAAGGGAGTACTAAACTAAGACAGATAACTACCCACAAATACAGTTTATGACATCATATTTCGGAAACTACAAAAGAGGATGCTTCATGAGAAAAGGAATTGACAGAGAAGCATTATATAAAACACTTCAGCCCAATCAGGTCAAAAGCGCTCACAGCCAGCCCATAGATTATTCCTTTTATCTTTGTGCCTTTTTGTTTTAGTTGTCACGTCTTGTCCAGAAGTAGCCTTGGGTTTCTTGTTCTACTGCTATTCAAGCTAAGCATTAGACCTTTTGAAGAGCTTGAATGATCATGATTTTATCAAACTCATCTTTTGAAGGGTCAGAATTAGCATTTCCCATAATATGCAGAAAGCTCAAAATAAGCCAAGTACCATTTCAAAGCCCAATGGCGGCTTCCTACGACTTTTATAGGAATACAGATATTGACATAGATTCTTTTGTTAGAACATCCAAAGAAAAAGGATTCTCGAGCTATTTTTATCAGTTTTCATGATTCTGAAGAAACATAATAGCTGCTTGATAGAGAACCCACAATCTCTACACTTCTTGGCTAATTTCTACTGTTAACCCTGGTTTATTCTCTCAGTCTCTCCTTAAGCATCAGAGATGATGCAGAAACTGGGAGTCAATTATAAGTGGCCACTTACATTGTGGTTCATACAAGCATGCAAATATAACAAGATCACCAGAAATTCTATGAAGCCCCACCTGTATGGTTGCAGCAGTCACAGTATCCAAAAGTGTGTTGGTAGTGTAACTATTGGATTGCAGTCTGATTCGTTTTGGCTCGATGTCTACTGAGCTCTTGGACCAAAATGCCAATGTAGATGAATCAAATCTCTGTATTATGCAGTGAAAAATTATTAACTAAACCAATATTTTTAAAAAGATAAATCTCATACTGTTTTCAAATTTTCATAGAGTAAATCCATACTCACCTCACATCTCGTAATATTTTCAAGAGGATATATTCTCAAGATTCGACTGGTGCTTGGATCAAGCATTCTGACTCCATCTAAACCAATCTGGACAAAAAACAAAAATACTAATTCAGATCATCAGCCCTGATAGGGATGAACAAGAAACGGGTGAAAATAATGCATGTTAGACATGCTGAACTCCATAGAACAAGGGTTTCTAGAGGGTTGAAAGAATTTATACACACAACACACATCCAAGTTTAGTCAAACGAAATTTGCAGAAAAGGGATAAGTAAATGAAGAATCAACTAATAGCTTTTGATATTCACCATAATCACGGCCACACTCTCCATGTGCGCGCGCGCGCGTGTCTCAAATACCAACGAAAAGGAAGACATGAAGAGGAAGATATCAGGACTTCAGACTTAGGAATCCTATCAGATTGGGCGTGTAACCAAAGAGGAGAGAGGAATGTCATAAAAAGCCAAATGTCACAAGGAAGATGGAGGTAGGGAATCGCTAGCATCAATAAAGCATTGAAAAGGAAGGAAATGATCGACCTACGAGGAAACGTCGTTGCTGCTGTATACACACATACAGAAACATTTAGTAGAATACCATAAGAAGGAATAAGATGCAGGGTATCCACCTTCCATATAACAGACACTGAAATGAAATAGCAAGGGAACACAACCCCGGGCTATGCTGTTAATTTATGTACATTGACATCTCGTTCTTGAATATTAAACCTTATATTTGATTAATTTTATGCCATTACTATACAATAAATCAGAAATCACTTTAGTATTATTTCCAAAACCATATTTAGAATTTGGAAATGTGGAAAAAATAATGAGAATATCTCGAATCAAAAGACATGTTCTGTACTACTAGTGATTTACAATGAGAATTTTTCACTAAGAACAACAGTGCTTATCCAACAATTGAAGACACGATACAAGTACTCATCTTATCGCTTATCACAGTGATTAATAAATTGTACTAGTTCTCCTCAAATCAGAAATATTAAGCAGCTACAGCATTCATACCTGCAAGAGAACATCCATAGTGTTTTGACCACTACTTTCCGCCAACAGCTTTACCCTAAATTTTTGCACTCCGCTTCTTACACCTTCTTGAGCATCAGCCTTCGGCACTGCTTTGGAAACCTTGTTTGATATGGAGGTTTCTTTCGGAGAGGGAAAATTGATTGGCCTCCCATAATCATCAAAGCCCGACCAAGGAGATTTAGGAGCCGTGCCGCGCGCTCCATAGGGTTCTACTTTGCCCCCTTCATAAGCATAGACGCCTTCTCCGTAAACTTCATCGAGAGCACGATCATACGTGGATATCCCGCCATCCTGTCGATTCCCGTAAAAATCTGATCCCAAACCAGACGGGCTCTGATTGAAACCTCCATACCTATCATCCAAGTAAGCGCCACCATGATCAAACTTTGCGGGATCCACACAAGGAATTTCGTTCGTGGAAGGCATGGAAGAACCGGGTTGCCCGTAAGGAGACGCGTGCGAGAATGAAAATGATGAATTCAGACTCAGGTTTTGAGAAGCAGAGGAGGAGTGAGCATAACTTGGAGCTGTTTGGTGTCGATCATAGGGCGGATAGTATGATTGCTGCGTGGACAGTTGCTGGTACGAAAGATGAGAATCAAACGGAGGGAAAGAGGACGGTTGCGGAGAAGAACTGACGGGCTGCGAACTGAAGGTGGAAGGTGGAGAGTATGATGGAGCAGAGGGAGTGGCCGGTGTCGGGGCAGAGATAGTTTCGGGATTCGGAGGGTTTGGGGGGCAAGTGGGGGTGTAAGATGTATAATCGGGAGTGTAACCGGAGGAGAACGGAGGAGCAGAAGCGTACGTGTTCGGGATTGCATCGGCAGAAGCATAAGGATTAGGTTTTTGAGCGGGGGGGAACTGATAATAGGGAGCGGAGCTGTAATCTCCTTGTTGCATCGTTGTTGTCTGCAAAATTGGCTCTTCCAATCGGACCTTTGGAGGCAGCAGGAGGAGGAGGAGGAGGGGACGGTTGGCAGAGGGAATCTCAGGAACTGTCCCGGGTGCTGTTGCCGCGTCCGCAAGTTTTGGTGCTTGTTCCACGTGGCGGAAGTTATACCGGTTTAGTTCGAATCCTGAGTCGTTGCCTGAACAACTGGTATCATGGTGATTGCAGACAAGACAAAAACAAAACTATAATTTAAAAAATATTTCTATCATATATAAAATAAATATAAATAAAAATATTTTTATTTATAAAAAAATATTTTTTAAAAGTATTTTTCAAGCAATCCAAACACCTCTCACGATGAAACCAAGCACGAGAATTTATTTAATAATAATATGGTATTTAATTAAATGAAATTATAAATAAAAAGATCAAAATATCTTCACAAAGAATCCTGCTGTCTAACTCAAGTCCCACCATGGCATTGGACGACCACGACCTGCATCAACAACCTACAATGGGAAAATCTGCTCCATCAAAAATTAGAAACAACAAAACCACCCAGGTTCAAACTCCAGACAGATTTGAAGGCCTCGTTGATGAAATTCGGTTCTCCTACCATCTCCTATGAACACATGTGAATAAATGACGTTGATGGGGACTAATGCGACAGCGGTTTGTGAGAAGGCATCGTGCTGCGCGTTGTTGAGAGGTTATTGATGAACAAAGCTGAAACGCCGTATTGATGCTCCAGTGAAGATGGCATTGGCAGGCCAGGAGGAGAAAGAGAGGGCAGAGGGGCAGCGAGGGCCTTTCCTTTTCCCTTTTTAATCTTTTTGGCGTGCACCTTTTTTCAGTATAAATTTACTTTGCAGAGCTATATCATGTCTTTTTCTTTTGAGAAATTGGTAATAATGATCCTTCTAATCGCTTGAGCCTTTACTCTAGTCAATTATCAAACCATTTTTATAAAATATATCATAAAATTTAAAAGAGCCACGCTAGCTGTAAATTATGTATAATGTAGTTTTTTTTCTTTCAAATTTTACAAAAAGCACATAAAATTCACATATAATTTATAATAAATTTTAAAAGAAGCATAAATATCCATGTCAACAAGTGAAATCCTTGTGCAAAAGCAAAACAGTGTAGCCAGAATGGGCTTTATATCCGGACTTGCAATTCGCAAAGCTGGGCGCCAGTTCAGATGTCAGCGGAAGCAGTAACAAGCCTCGATAAAGGGCAGTTCCAGATATCCTTTATTCTGTCAGTAAAAAGGCGGAGTTATAAAGTTTATGAAGAAACAGAACCCTGTCCCCGATACGGCTGAGACTGAGATAGAGATAAGATAGACAGATGTCATTTATTGTCAAGCCAAAAGAAGATGGACGAATCAAGCAAAACAAGTCAAATTCAGATATTAGGAGGAAACCCCAATGAAGGAAAAGTGAGAGAAGATTCTTTCTACCATTAATTACCGAGCAGCATATTCCTAAACACGGGCCAATATGCAGGACAAAATCAAAATACGGCCAACTCCAGTCCCCAAAAAAGGCCGAGCAGGACAAAAGGAATTGAAAACCGGAAGCCCCACAATGACACCCTAATCTATATCTAATCTCAAGTATTAATTTGATCAACAAGAAAAATATGTTTTTACGCTTCAAATGAGCTTCTCTTTCCTCAACCGTCGCTCCTGGTGCGCTAGGCTAAAAGCACTTCCATGCAGCCTTCTTTGGCAGAATTACACACTGGACAAAAATCAAGCAAGGCTTCACAGAAATAACAAGAGCAGAGGTGTCTGCAAGGTAGGAACAGTACACACGAGCTCCGAGAGTTACAGCTTTTACAAGCCATTCTCTTTCTCTGTTTTTCCTCCTTTTCTTCCTCTTCTTTGTTTTGACTTTCCTCACAGGGACCGCAGCAAGACTCTGTGTCTTCGGCCCTGTTACCGTCCCAGACCTTCCTCTCTCTTACCTGTTCCAACGTGTTCGTCAGGCTTACTATCATGGCCTCCTTTTGCTTGGCTACTCTCTGCCACGCTTCGCTTTCCATCTCTGCTTTTCTCAAGCAATCCTCCAGCTCTGTACTTTTCCTTTTTGCCTGTGTCAAGTCATTCTCTTTCTGCCTGACCAGACTCAGCGATTTGGATTCAAGAGCACTCAATAGGAATGCCACCTGCTCCTTTCTTTGATGTTGCAGAGCCTGCCTTAATCTCTCGTTCTGTTTCAAAGTATAGGCAAATAATTTAGTCACTAAAATGACTCGCAACAGGATGATGCAGCCTAAAATCGAAAGTTGAATATTTCTCAGTTCACACACTTGATTTTAGCCCCAAAAAAGGAAGGAAATAAAGCATCTTCACACAACATATTTAAAAAACAGAGATAGTTTCATCCTAATGTGATAACCTGTGATAGGAGCATGCGATCAATCTCATGTCTCTGTAACTCCAGCTGCGCATTTAAAGCGTCAGAGAAGGAGGTGGGTGGAAAACTATTGCATACGAAGGAAAACGGAGGCCCCTGATTGCAATCAAAACCAGAGCTTTGGTAGGTCTGGTGCTGTTGGCACTGAGGCTTTGAAGGGTGTGGAAGACTGAGAAGAAGGCCATCATCCATTCCCAGCACCTGACTAGTCCCTGCCCAATCCGGAAGACGTATGGGCAATCCGGAATTTTCTGAATAAAATTGAGCTTGAAGTGCCATCTTAGCTCAATGGAGGAGGAGGAGGAGGAGGGGCAGAAGCACCCAGGAGTGCTATTTTCTGTGGACATATATCAAGGCCATTTATTAGGAAGCCAGAACGGAAACGAAATCATGGGTAGGTTTAAAGCCAGAAGGTTCATGTTCTCGCCATATCAGAAAAGATGCATGATCTTTCTGTCTCTTCTCGGCATAAACTTTGCCTTCTTTGTTGCTACAATTTCTGGTCTAACTGAAACTCACCATTAAGAAGGAAACCCGTGGGATGTTTATTTATAGTGGGAAAACTGACAATCTTATTATTGTGTGATTAAAAGCGGGTAATGGAACTTTCATGTGTGACTTAATTGTATTGACTAATTAAAGAGCTAAAAGAGCGGGAAGAATATGTATAACTCAATAATTATAAATAAATAAATAAATAAAAAGGAAAGGGGAAGCGAGGTTGTCTTTTAACTTTTTCAAGGCTTTTGGGTGGATATAAGTATAAATCTCGAATCGGGCTTTGCCCATCAACCGGGTGTTTGTAGAATCTCAAAAGGCTATAATATGCCAAAACCAATAGCAGCATTAGTGAGTAATGAGGGAGATTTAAAAGGGGAGGCGGAAAACGACGACGTACATGCAGATTTTGTGACAGAAGAGTCACCGAAGTATCGGGTCAGACGGGATCAGGAGGAGAAGAGAGAGGAGGAGGTGGTGGCGAGGGGGAAATCCACTAAATTGGGATGTGAAAGGGTCAGAGCCTCAGAGGGGTATGGGAGGAAATCAGAGATGGGGGGGATTGTCAGTTTGGTCATTGGGAAAGGAAAGGCTAAAGAATAGCGTTTCTATACGTCCACTTTTTTTTGGTTATTTGGGTATTTAAGCCAGAAATTGAAATCTTTTTTTTTTTTTATGAAAGACGACAAGCCGTAGCTTGAGAATGCGACCCGCGTACAGAAGAAAGGAAATAAAAGTTTACAGGGAAAAGCAAAGCCCACAACGGACTACACCGAAAAACCCAATCCCCAACTTAGTCATCTTGTTGGTCTTCCAGCACCATACTCATGCATTCCGTTGGCTCATTAGGAATCAGTATCGTATTGAAGGAACCTTGATGCCCTGTTTTTGCCAAAAAATCGGCACACTTAATAATGTCTCTCCCTGTGTGATGGACCTCCACTAACCCGTGGCCATAGATCATCTCCCTTGTGTCCGTAATGAGAAGTCTCAAGGGATGGTCTATAACCCGATCTCTCATTAGAAGGTTAAACGCTTCCAAGGAATCTGTATATAGTAAGACCTTGGGCACACCTAGCTGTTGACATGTCTGCAAACCTGTCTGAATTCCCAGTAGCTCTGCCTCAGTAATCGAACAGTAGCCCAAGTTCCGTTGAAAACCCATGAGCCATTTCCCCTCGTGGTCTCTGATCACTCCACCGCATGCTGCGTGTTGGTTGTCTTGCACCGATCCATCCACGTCGAGTCTGACTGCATTTATGGGAGGCGGTGTCCATTAAGTTTCAGGTCTCGAGGCTGCGTTGAAAACTTCATGCTGAAGTTGCTGGTTTGTTATGCTTTCCATCAGATGATATCTGCACCGTTGAACTAGTTCTCTCGTACTGTTTGCTTTTCCTTCAAAAACATAACTGCATCTAGATGTCCAGAGTAGCCAGCATCCAAACATGAAGACTCGTAGCCATTCCCAGTTTGAGAACCTTCCAGCTGCTGGTCGATGTGTAGCATTCCATACTAGCCAATCCTGCAAAGTTTGAGCATAGAAACTAGAAAGACAGTTAGGTTGAATTATAGATGACCAAAAATTTTTTGCTCTCTCACAGTCTCTCAACACATGTAGAATGCTCTCCTCTTCCTGGCAATTAAAAGGACAGTTTGCATTATCTGATATCCCTCTTCGGGCTCTGAAAGCATTTGTGGCTATACTCTCATGGGTCACTTGCCAAAGTAAGAATTTAATTTTTTCTGGAACCCCACATTTCCAGATTTTATGCCACCAAGATCCCCTACCTGCATGCTGTCTCCTGTCTAGGAAATCATACGCTGACTTTACAGAGAAATTCCCATCAGTTGCAGGTCTCCAAACAAAGACATCCACAGATCGGTTAGTAGGGGTTTTATACGTAGCAAGGTCATGATAACGTGGTGAGGCAAAAACCCCCTGCCAGCTGTCAACATCCCAAGTGCCATTGTCCCGTACAAAATCCTTAACCGTAGCTTTAGGATCCAAACTGGAATTCCTGCCTGCGTACATTATGAGGGGGCGGTCCAGGGGAGTC